AAATTGAAATGCAATGAGACCAGGGATCTCTTGGATTCTTCAAAGAAGATGTTCTCTGCGCGTCTCACCTATATAACATGCGTGGCAACAGCAGCAAACAATCATATAAATCCCATAGCGACAAATAATTAAAAATCTATATTTGGGACAATTATCTACCATGTATTCTAAGTAGCCCATAAAAGGGAAGGTGTGAGTAGGGCCAATTTGATATACATTGCGACACCATTAATTTAGCTAGTCGTATATAAAGAGCATTGATCAAGTTAAAATATGAGATTATGTTTTGACTAAGTGGTAAAAAACCACCAGGTCTCATTTCATTGTTTCTATAGAATAGTAGTTACTATCCTTGTGTCTCATTTGTATTTACTTAGTTTACATGTTTTAATAATTGTAATGCGCTTATAGCTTTATGATAAGCGCTATATAAAAATGCCTAAATAAATAAATAAATAAATTTCATTATTATTTTTTGTTCAATTTTTGTATATTTGCTTCAAACTTTTGCGTGGCACTGCCTCTAATATCTAATATATATATAAAAGTGGGTGCCTTTGCCCCCGGTTAAGAACCACTGAATTACTGGTAAGATGTATAAATTGGAACATTGTGCCTTGCGTCGTCAGGCTGTGTGTTATTTGTAACATTTCCTGGAGAACAAATTAAATGCGACCAAATTGACATTTGTACCGTATGTTGGCAAATATTGCTGTTTGAGATTTCTATGTAAGGGATCTAACAATAGACATGGTCTTTTGAGGAATGCTGAATTTTTATAAGTAATTACATGTAAATAAAATATTTTTAATGCAACTCCAGGGTTGTATTGTATAAATATCATTTAAAAATGTAGTCCCATCTATTTCTTCAGCGTATTGCTGATCTCTGAAAACTGACAACCTTATAAATTATTATGCTATCGGCTAGAAGAAAAATGTCGACCTTTAATTATATTTTGATCAATTCTCAATAGTTACTAGTTTCAATCTTTAAATAACTTTAACGTTCTTTTTAATTCAAAGTCTAGCTCCGAATGATAAAAAAAAAAAGAATTTTAAATATTATTTATATACAGAAGCGAACTTAAGTTTATCTCCAAGCCATAAATTAGACAATATGTGTTAGCGTTAAGAGGTTGTTTTATTGTTGATTTCCAGACCAGCATGTTTATTCCTCTTTAGAGTAATTAAAACGAGTAGGCTACAAAAACAGACCCAAAAAAAATGATTTAATGGAAAAATTATGAAATGTGTTTAAAATATATAATAATTAATAGAAAAATATGCTCTTGTTTAAAAAAAATAAAAATCGCGATTCATTGAGGCCATAATCAGTTCTTTTGCAATCGTTCCAAATCATCTTCAAACTCGGTGAAACGAGGAAATGGTTTTATGAGTTTGTTGTTAGAGCTTCGAAAAGTTTAGCGTAAGAAGACAATTCTCCGACAATTCAATCTTTTCGTTTGTCTTTTTTCAGGCTTCCCCTGATTTTACCCTCGTCTCCTTAAGCCAAAACCAGTTCAAAGTTGGCGCTTTTTTATATTTTTCACAGCAAGAATCTTCTCGTAACAATTGAACCGAAAACATTCACACAACTCTTTCGAAGCTCTGTAAGGTATCATTTGTTTTATTATCAAAACTCTAATTTATGATCCCATATGTTTTAAAAAATAGAGTGCTATGGCTTTAATATAATACCCATACATTATTAGGACAAAATCGTTTAAATTTGTTTTGAACGAAAAATAAAAACCTACATATATGTTTTTTTAAATAATTAATTAAAATGTAATTAAGAATCGCAGTTCACAACTATCACATATGAGTGCAATGGTTCTAACTAAAGCACAGCAACTTAACAACATCAAGTTTACAACACCAACTGTGCAATACCAACTGTACAACACCAACTGTACAACACAAACTGTACAACACCAACTTTACAACACCAAGTTTACAACACAAACTTTACAACACCAACTTACAGCACTAAGTTTAAAACACCAACTTTACAACATCAACTTACAGCACCAACTTTACAACACCAAATTTACAACACCAACTGTACAATACCAACTTTACAGCACCAACTTTATAACATCACCAACAACAATTTAAACAATACATAGACACTAGTTTGTGTTTAATGAAATAAGATAAGTATATTTAAAATGCTTGATATCAATTTTGCTAAATGGACATATTTTTTGGCGGCCACAATATGACGATGGTGTAGACTTCACTGGACGAAATCACAAGGCTTTGGATTTTTTTTTAGTATGATATGCTGCTTCCCTAGATAGCAAATCACCTCTCTCCACTCTAAAACAAGGGAACATCATATGTGATGATACAGTGTGCTTCAGTAGCGTCGCCTGATTTGTCGAAATTTTCATTGGTTGAATTTCATACCGCCTACGGGACTCCATCTCCGGGTTTGAATTTACAGTTTGCCTTCTTTAAGATGAGTTACCATCTAAACGATTCCCATCCACCTGGGGAGCTGGTGTGGTTTTTTTCTTGACTAGGCCATTGCTGGGGATTAACCCCAACCGACAAGCTTGGAAAGGACTCAGATTAGACAGTTTCCCCCTCTCCACAGCCATTATAATCATTATCATTATAATTATTATATGGGATTCATTGATAAACCCCTTTCCCCCAACCCCCACCAAAAATTTTTTTTTTTTTTTAATTCAAATATTTCAGAATTTATTAACGATGTAGTATGAAAATGTGGCAAAATAAGGACGCAGCATTTAGAAAGTTAGGGAAAATCTTTGCTGTTTCCGCATAGCCTCGAGCGAGCCTATAGAAGTCTGTCATTGTGTTTTTCACTGTTTTTCCACTAGTGAAGAAGAAGAATATGTACACAACATAAAATATATAATAATTGACAGAATTTTATGCTCTTTTTTTTTAAAAAATAAAAATCTCGATTCATTGAGGCGATAATCAGTTCTTTTGCAATCATAGGAGCACGCTTTTCACCAAACGTACTCGATTATTTTTATGTAATGTGCAGAATTTAATGATTAGTCTCTGGGTTTTTTTCTTTGGGTCTTGCAAAGTAACAATCAGCCTGTTAAAAACCATGTAGGTTAATTCTAACATTGAAACATGGAAAGGTATGCAATACTTCATAACGTATTCATTCAATCTTAATGGGGTTTTTTTTTTTAATTTTCAAATTTTAAACCTAAACTCAAACTAAATGAAAATAATGAGTAACAAAGAATTAGTTAAAACATTATCAACGGAACCAAATTTATTGTTTTAATCAGATATCTTTTGTTGAACGTTACCAATTTTATCAAGGTCACTGTCTAAACCGAATAATTGAGTAGTACATGTCTTATAGACAATGTCAACATTCATCGCAGATGTCAACACTATTAGTACAAGTGATGGTAACCACCACATGCAATGTCCTCTAAAATTGTATTGTGTTACCTTTGCACTCAGTAATTTACAAATTTGAAGGGAACAAATGGATTTATTACGGTTTAAGATAGGCTAATAAAACCAAATGTTATTAATAGAGATAAAAATTATTAAAAATAAAAACTACGAAGTATCATAAAGTATTAAAAGGAATTTTAGGATTGTAATTTTTACAACAATTTCAACTCCCCGCGCCCCCCCCCCCCAATATACTGACATTACACTATGACTGAGACAGTTAATAAATAAAAACAGTTAAAAAACAGATTGTATGTTTTAACAACTGTGAAATAATATCACAGCTACAAGCAAACAAAGACATGTCCTAGAGTGACAAGATTTTGGTTGCACCTGAGTTTGATCAGTCCTTGATTACAGACTCGTCTAACTATGGATCAGGACCTTGTCTCGTGCAGCAAATTGATAATAGAGTCAGACCAATTTTATTTTTTAAGTGGTTTTCTTTATTAAATCTAAAGTAAAAAAAAAATCTACAAATGAAAAGAATGTCTAGCCGTTCAGGGCACTCACTAAAATACTGAAATATTAATTGGACAGAAGTTTAATTTGTATGGACATACCATAAAGCTTTCATTGTTTTAAACAGAGAAGAGGGTAGCTAACGGCAAAATAACCAGTTGGTCAATGATATTATATAACCACCGTTGGTACCTGCTCGAGTTCGTGCTATCGGGTGCTGTCCTGAGAAAATTAAATGTAGATCTCTAGCGTTGCCTCGCGGCCCGATACCGTGTTTAGTGGGGGGGGGGGGGGGGGGAAAAAA